CCCCCCAAACTGTCTGTTTGTGCATGTTGTGCCACTGGAGTGTTTGCCAGCTGAATTACTCAGTTTCATGCTAATTATGACAGTCGTCTGCATCAAAGTAACTAATATCTTGACACATCATAGTTTAAAGTTCAAAGAATAATAAGACCCTATAACACTGTACCTATGCATTATGCAACAGCGTGATGAAAAAGCCCACAATGTCACCTTTGAAAGGTGGCAAAAAGATTCAATTAAAAGGTATGGTAACACTGAAAAGAGCGCAAGCCAAGGTTACTTGGTTTAAAGTGAGAATGTGTGAACGCAGATAATTTACACTGAAAAATATATTCAATAGTTCAGACTACACTAGGACATCACTGTCAAAATGTCACTTCTGAAGCAATGCTGCCCATATTGACTTGCAGCATATGTCTCTGTCTGTACTTTGGCATGCAGCAGCTAATTAGTGTAACTGAGCATCCTGATGCGGTTGCAGATTTATGATTATTAGGGGCGTCCATTGTATAATATTTGCATTAGTTGCTATTTAATGGCATTGAATTACATATTACACAAATCAGCTGCTTTTGTATCAGGCTTTCATAAATCATGGTGAGGGGGTACACATCAAGTTATGACCTTATTCAAGGTTATAAGGTACAGGCTGACTGATGGGCTTTCTCTGCGTACAATGACTCTACCTGTCAGATTTGTACTGGCGACCATCAACTTAATAGCAACCCACACCATTCTTTTAAAGGTTTGTGTCTGACCTCCTCCTCCTGTACGATTTTCCCTTTTGATTTAAATTTAAATATTGTTTGAAATGTTTGAGTCATATTTATGTGGTATTTTTGATAAATATCCTTCTTTGTTCATACCTCTGCAGGGATTTGGTTTTGTTTTGACAGGCAGTGAGTGAGAAATGATGGAAATAGATGACAACAGTTGGCTGTGATGCATGGTCGACCTCAAGAGGCTTACCACAGCTCACCTTTAAATCCTCTGCCCTGCATTAACAACACTCTTCTGAGAGGATATTCTCCATTGCATGGTAAACCTGATCAAAAGGAGCTCATACCTGAGTATTCAATATAAACAGTATAAAAGCCCCCAACAGCATTGTTGTGACCTTTAGGTGGCAGACTGCCAGCTGAGTTGCTTGAGTGTACACATATCAGTTGAGTAAGAATACAACGACAGTGTGCACGCTGCGTCATCTTACAACTGACCATACCACAACATGTCAACTTTGTCAAGACCAGGAAGTAGATCTTGCTGCAACAACATTGATAAACCTGAGCAGAACCGTACAACAGGAGGAGGAGGAGGAGGAGGAGGAGGAGAGGGAGACAGACACTGGGGAGCAGACACACAGGATAAGATGTTATCAGTAAGTTTTCAAGACAGTTTAATAAGCCCTGAAGCAGGAGACATTCGAAGCCAACATAGCACGCTCATGCCATGTTAGCAGCGAGGGTTTTCTTACCTCTTGAAGGTACTTGAGGGCGCTGACGTGTCTGGAAAACAAAAAGAGCGAAACCTAAGATTTAATTAAACTGTGAGAAGGAATTTACAACCTTCTACACAACTATGTTAATCTTTCTACAAGACTCATTAAATTACTTAAATTATGCATGATGAGAAAACTACATCAGAAGAATGGTTAAGTGTGTAGCAGGGCAAGGGCAAGGCTAGTGTATTCAATAAGTTACACAAGACACTTGTGTAATTGGCTGTCAGTTGCCCTGCATGCAGCTTGATGAATTATCGTAGGAGCCGGAGAGATACAGTTGGGAATAGGAGAATAGATATTGGGCCACAAAAACACAAAACATCAGATTTGGATGCAGCGTGTTTGTGTGTGATGACATGCGGGAGAAGAGTGCAAATGGGGAAATCCCCGAGTGGAGATGCTCACAGTCTCTCTGAGTCGACGAGCTCTTTGGCGACGTAGAAGGCTCGGGATCGGCCATCAATCTGGGTGACAGGGAGGGAGAACAGTGGGAGATGAATGAACACAGCTAATGTTTAAAGGCTCTCTGTGGGCACTTATTCCTCTTACACATTAATAGGAACAGCTACGCTGCAGCGGAGGAGAGTGGCGAAAAAGCAAATTCCCTTTTTTTGGGTTAGATTACTGCTGTCAAAATAAGACAGATTATTTCATTACAGTGCAGCATAGACACGAAGGCTTTCTCAAATACGGGACTTTTAAATTTAGATGCATTATGTATGAGAGGCTGTGTGTGTGGTGACAACAATGCTGCTCATTGATTTAGAGGCTAATCACAGGGTCTCAAAACATCCGAGCCAAAACATAACATTGAAGCCATTTAGGGGTTTACCGGCAAGGGTCCTGTGCTTTATCAGTGTTATTTTTTCCTATGTGGGGCATTTTACAAATACTGCATTAAAGGCGCACTGATCCTCATTTCCTCAAAATAAAACCAAAACACTCTTCCATTAAATGAAACTGTTCCTGGGACCAATGCAAGTCTCTCTGGTCCTCTTACTCTCTGTCTTGCTTTGAAGAAGAAAACAAGGAAATGTGTGCCACATGATGGGAGCAGTGGCCTGATATTATTGTGGTAGCAGCAGGAAGGGTGGGGTCTCATAGCCACTGTAAAATGGCTGCCTTTTATTGTACAAAAGTCTGGGGAGTTTAAGGTGATACATTCAGGAGAAAAGGTTCATGTAAGTAATCACCTATAAAATGTATAAAATATTTAAAATTCCAACCTAAAGCCCATTAATACAATAAAGCATTCAACAGGACCTATGCCGCATTTTCTGCTCATCATGTTGATTTGCTGGACCAGCTGGTAGCTCAGAGGACTGAATTAATCACCTGCTACCCTACTTTCATTTATCTCTGTATACCATATCCTACCTGTCTGTCATAACTTTGCTCCGCCACCCCTTCTTCCTCCTCTGAGGTACGCCCGTGGTCCTCATCCGCTGACAGCCCAGCAGAGACGGGGTTCATTGGGAAAGGCTCTGTGTAGGCACTGCAAAGGGAAAGAAAAGACAGTATGAATACAGAAAAACAGCACTGGTACAGAAACATTTATATTTAATACTATAGCAGCATCTACGCAATAGCATGAGATCAATAGAATTGCTTTAACTATAAATAAAGATACTTAATGTTTTCAGGAATGCATTGAGGACACACATTCACAGTAAAAAGCCACTGTATATTATCTTTACAGCAGCATATTCTCAAAACACTGAGCAATACTCCAAGTCCCCTGTAAATGTGTGTTTTTCCCTTTCCTGTGTGTGTCTCTGAACATTTCCACTGCTCATATAGAGTCCTCCAGTGGCAGACTGTAATCCCTTTCATGATTCATTCATTACACAGATGGCACAGTTGTGTTCAGACGCTGGTAATCCTTTTGTGTACGGCTGTACCTGAGAGGGGCGTGCTTTAGGTCATTTCACATGTAATCCTTTTAAATGCTACCTGTGGTAATTATTAATGTCCTCTGGCCCATTAAGACCCATTCAGTATGCTTGACTACATTCACATTGCCAGGATGAAAACTGGATAACAAATATTCTCATATAACAAGCTGTCCTATAGCTGTAGCATAGCTACTTCAAGAGAGACTGATGGCAGGTTTCACAACTAATGGAAAGCTTTCAGAGCTTTCTACATGCAAACCACCAATTTCGTTTTAAAAGCTGAATATTTGTGCAGTATGTCAGATGACAATGGAATAGACTTACAATGACATGTATAGTGTAGCAGAATAACAAAATTAATATTAATGTACTGCCACAAGGACACATACATTTCTATCCATTAAGTACTGCTATAGTAAATACTGAGAATACTGTAGGCACTGCAATGCAACATAGAATAATGCTAATAATATTAAGTTACTTAAGTGACTTATGACTGAAAATGATGATGATATGATGATGTTACAGGACAAAAAAAAA